ACGTTCTCAAAAATGAATCGAGATGCCGAGTTGGTAAGCTCATGCATGTTGGACATGTAGTACTTGTTTTTCCACATCTAAGTGTTGATAGACTTCGCATTTAAAGCTAGCTTTGTAGAGCCATCCCTCTTTGCAGTTAGAACGATAGGTGCTATGAGAAATTTAGTCTTGCATTTTTCTAGTTTTTCTATCTGTTTGTCTTCGACAAGATTTTGCGTTTCAATCGCTACTCACTCTCGATTATGAATTTGGAATTTTCGACCCTTACATTGAAGGGGAATTAGAGGGAACTTGATGGTACTGAAGACATGTTAACTTTCGACCAAGCAAGCATGTGGAGAACATTGACCTCACTCTTTGTGAAACGATTTCTCCAGAACATTGATTTCGGGTCCAGCACCTCATAGTCTGTTATTGAGTCGACTTCAACCGGTTTCGTTTGAGTCGTGACTAACCCTAGTTCCGCATGTAAATTCAGTCCCAACAGATTTCGGGTTCCGTTTTCCGAAACGACGCAGATTCGATCTTATGAAAAACAAAGGACTCTAGCATGAATATCGTGATACAGCTTAATTCGTTCTACGATCAGTACTGAACATCACTTTGCAGCTATCATGAAAGCCTTTAAAGGAGCAAGAATTCAGGTCGAGATGTGGGTTCGAATCTGTGAACCGCCATTTTCTTTCATTCCCAAAAAAGAAGAACAAGCGAGAGTTTTCTTACCATGTTCTTCTTACGGCTTTTCCGTCGCAAAAAAGAGATGCGTCTCGAGCTTCCGCATACTCAGTAGCTGCATGTGTTTCCGGCTCAGGAGGAGGGGACTTGTCAACAAAAATGTGGGCATGCTAAAAGATCGTTGGGAATGGTATTTTCCTATAATCCAACTGCTAGAAAGTGTTGACCGATTCATGTTTCCCATAGAAAAGGTAGTTAACTGAGTTATTCGCACAAAAATGCAGAATACCTTAGAGAACAGTCCTGTCTTTATTTACAGGAGCTGCTGGCTCCGCCATGACAAAACCCGCCCAGTACTGGTTTAAGACTGAAGTGTTAAAAGCAAAAAATAAGTATTAATAAGTATTACTTATTACTAAGTATTACAAACCGATAGATTTTCTTAAAATAGTTAGATAAAAATATCGGTAGAAAAGACGTTAAGAAACCTAGTTTTGTTTTGAATAGATGCCGTACTCAGAATAGAATAACTGTTTCACGTTAACTAATATCGCATCACTGGAAATAACAAAATTAAGCATCATCACACTTAAACTGGTTAAATTTGGCCTTGAGTGGAGACGTATAGAGTGTTAACACATAATAAAATAATAGACATATAAGTTTTGATAGACATCGACTGAACGAGGTAACGAAAGTCGCCTCACGACAAAGTTGTGTGTCCACATAGTCATTCTCCACTTGATAAAAAGTTATTTAATGAAATTTGATAAAGAAGGCTTTCGTGGCGTTCCGGGATTCACCGAATGTTTTTGAAGAAGGAATGCCGGTCATTTTGTTTGAGCTGGGCGCCCCAGGTTTCAAAAAACTAAAATTAAAACGAAGGTTTGCTTTAAACTGTCTATTTTAATCTTTTAAAGCAATCCCAGGTAAGTAAATGAATCCTGAAAAAAATACAAATTTGGATAGAATATTTGAAGTTTTTTTTTTGCAAAAAAAATTTTTTCACAATGGTTCGATGCTAGTTAAAACCCAAATGACCTGTAATTTTTTTTGTATTCTTTTAAGATCTGGTAGCGATTTAAGTATCAGTATTAGATACAAATTGAACTCCGTTTAAGCATTTTAGAATGATTGCAAATGAGTTGGCTAAGGTATGGGCACCTGATACACTCCGAGAGGATTGCTTTATCAAATGTCGGGATGCGTTCAAGAGAAAAATTTATAGACTGTTCCTCTGACAGCGAACAGGATAACTGAATTGCATTAATGGATAACTGAATTGTAGCATTGAACCGGATAACCCAATTGCGTCAAAGGGAGTCTTCCAAATTTTGTGAGATATTGATAAAAAAATAAAGAAGGAAGTTGTCTGAAATTGATTTTTTCTTTCAACAATCTATTTCAAATTTTGGAAGATTTAGGTTTGCGTTTTTTCATACCGAAACTGACCGTCAAATGGTTCGAGCTTTAATCTGTCTGCATAATGGGTGCCATTATTTTACACAAAATCCTTGCCAGCCAGTGTCTCACATTTAAAAAAATACAGCAATAACCAGTTTACTCAGCGAGTAAAGCATCTATTCAAGGTTTCTTTTCCCAGACTACTTGACAGAGCCAAAATAAGCGCCTTGTGATTTTTTATCACGTCGATCTGTGGGTCACGAAGGTAATTTTTTAATAAAGAGCAGCGCACACTACCCGGAAGTGTTTTAAATGGCTAGTTATGTTGACTTTTTAAGGAGGTAGTATTTGATAAAACGAGGACCCAAAATAATTGTTTCCCAGTCGCTCACATGGAGTTGCACTATTGAAGCACCCAGCCTTATATGAGACGCTTTTGTCTGTTTGTTTTAATTCTGGTTCTCAAATTAACATAAAACTGAGATTTTCGGCGTACGTCAATAGGTCGGTCCGTCTTTTTTGTCGAACGCCGACGTTTGTACGTCCTTCCAAAAGATTTTTTGTACGATAGTAGTCTTATAGGGTTCCCCAAAGATGCTAGGATTTGTGCGAGATTTCAAAACTGATTCTTGGAGCCAAAATTTATCTGAGTTTTTCAAATTATCGAGAGTTTTTTTAGGCTTGCGCTTTCTCTTCCAAAGAGATTTGTGTACTCGTTGAACTCATCCAAAAACCGCAATGTAAATTTTTCGTGGTTTGAACTTCATTTTTTTCATTGAATTATGGGCCAGATAGCTGCATTTCTTGTCGCTTCATTTCATCTTTAATAAAAAAAATTGACTGCACTGGCCAAACTGACTTGTATGATCAGATATACAAGATTCTAGAACGTTAAAAAGCAGTTTTTTCGATGTTTTATCGTCGGAGATAAATTTTTCTTCATATTTAAAATTAAGTGAAAGTCAGTTTTGCTGCTACCAGCATCTAACCAAGCGTTGATGAAGTCGTAACTTTTTACGGAATATTTAACAATTACTTGCAGATTGCTTACTCGGAAAATAATATACACTCTTCTTAGTGTTTTTTTCTTACGATAAAGCTTACATTTTTACGTTTTGAATCACAATTTTATTTGGAATTTCTTCTTTAGAATACAAGCTGACCAAACTGCCGGGGTCTTCTTTGGGAGCTTTTCTCCCACATTTATACACGAGTATTCACTTAAGACGTTTAGGATTGGTTCGTTTCCTAAGAGAATATTTTTTCGGACGTGCGATGTCTGGTTTAAATAAATGTTGCTATCTTTAAGTGATTGCAGATTCTTTTTCCAACGACCAGTGGTACATTAAGAGCATCTAGCAGAGATAAAATTTCGATTTGACAGCTTCCTTTAATATCGTAGATTTTCACGTTGTTGATGAAGATGTCACGAATATGATATTTACCTCCACTGGAGATCTCGCTCTTCAGAGTCATTTCTGCGAATGCTTCCCCAAGCTGCTCAAGTTTCCTCTATTACGTGGTCGGCACTTTAAAAGCATATGGCGTTCAAACGAAATGTTAGCTATAAAATGTGACATTTTCTGGTAATTTCTAAGTTTAGTTAATCCCAAAATATCTTGAAAAGAAATCCGGAGGTAAGTTTTATCCGGAGAGAAAACCTTGGTAAGTTTTGGTGAGATGATCCGTTTCTCTTTCGTTACATGGGCGAAGAAGAGCCATTATATGGCTTTTTTATCCGCTTTTTTGAATCTTATCCATCCGACAGTATCCATTTTTCTTTTCTTGCGTGCAATTGTTTTGTCATCGGACCTTTTTGTTTTGTCGCAGTTTATAGTCGGTCTCGCTCTTATCTTGAACATTTCCATTTTCTGCGGCCTCTTCCACTGTTGCTGCTATGGCAATTTTCCGGTTAAACGATTTTATCACATTATCTGTATTTGTGTTCTCCTTAACTTTCGGTGGTCTTTGGAGCATATCTCTCAGGGCTTCCCCAGCGATAGGTAAATCGATCGTGTGATTTAATCATAGCGTAATCTCCTGGATGCCAGATTCGCTTACATTAGACTACGGTATTTTAAAAAGTGTAAACTCTGCTCTTCTAAAGTACTAAACTAATTCAGGCTAAAAGTGTATTATTCAGAAGTAGGATAAATTAGAATTAAATAAAAAGAATGAGCGACCACAACACAATGATGAGTTTGAAAAAATTGGCAACTAGCTTTTTTTCTGCCTTTCGTCAGAAATTTCTCCAATTAATTATTCATAACGGCAAAAACGTAGCTTTTTTGTTGGAAGTTTTTTTTTTGGACAAACGTTTTTTTGTCGTATCCATAAACTTGAAAAAGACTGAATAAAAATGTAAACATGCATTTGTAAGTGCATGTTTGATTCATTAGAAAAAAACTGTAGATATCCGTGGATTTTGATTGTTTCTTGCTATCCATAGATTGTATGAAGAAGTCACATGTACGATACTCAAGCTCAGGGGCGGATCCAAGATTTTTTCGAAGGGAGGCGGATTTTCAACAAAAAAAGATAATTTTTTTTGTTCGACTGATTTTCTGAGATCTACGGAAACAGTATACAAATAAAGACCAGAATTCAAAAAATAAAGAAGAAAAAACAGGCCAAAAAAGGCGTTTGGAGGCACGTATTGGAGCGTTTTGACCAAAAGATTGCGTGTTTTCGGCGCGCGCTCCCCCCTCAGAATTAGTCTATCTAGGCGCCTTTAGAAAAACTTAAGGGTCAGTCAGCCAAAAATGGATATCTTAAAATAGTACAAAAGAGGGACCCTTTGGGCCAGCAGGGGGTCGAACTCCTCAGGTAAGAGAGCGTCCGCTCCCGCTCTCTTCCTAAATCCACTGGTGTTCAAACTTACTGGATTTAATATTCAGTTGATTTGAAGGTTATGTTTTCAGAACCGAACCCAATCTACCCGAGTACAGTAAACAGGACATATTATTTCACACAATCAAACCAGTTGTGGGTACCTTACTTGAAGATAAAATGGCCCGCCTTGGAAGAACCTACGTGCCCCCATACAAGATTCTTCAAGGATTTCGACAATGTTGGCACCGATGTTGATGACGGCGTAATTCGATTTGAAGACTACGAAAATTTTTTGAACATTTTCGACGTCGAAGCCATGAAGATTAATCGGCTGGACACTTACAACGTGACGCTGCGCAGGATATTCTCAGACGGCGCTGCATACTTTGGACAAGGCGCACTGTCGACTATTTCGGGGGAAATAGAGTCCATTTCATCATTCTTCTCCGTTTCTCGAAGTATGAAATCTTTTTTGTCTATTTCGTTTTGTTACGACCACCAAGATTTTTGTAATTGGGTGTTTTTTTTAAACTTCATAACTTTTTTGTTTTATCAACTTTTTTGTCTTATCAATTCATTTGTTTTTGGCAACTTTATAATCGTCGGTTTAACTTGTACGGACCTACTACTATATGTCTGTGACTGCAAAACGGGTATGTGGAGACTGTGTTTTAGTATAATACCCGCACCGAGTGCCCATGGATTCTAATCGATTATAATGGATTTCCGAGACAGAAAAAATCTATTATAATCCATTACAGATGTAAAATTCAGACCACGAAGTCGATTATATTGCCATTATAATCGATTATTTTTGAAAAAAATCTATTATAATCCATGATTTTTGTCACTGAAATCGAAATTTTTTGCCAAGATAATCCATTATAAACGATGAAATTTGCAAAATGTATGCCATGCGTCTTTCACTAAATGCCATGTATCAACGTCATCTCTACCCCTCAATCATTTTTAACTCCCCTCCAACAAAAGGGGTCGGGTAAACTGGGGGTGGTACGGTTGCGGTAAAAAAAACAGTAAAATGAAGTGTTAAACTGCGATGAAATAAAAAAGTAGAGACAAAAAAATATACATTTTATCGTGAAAAGTAAAATTTTATGAAACGTAATGCGTAGCAACTGCTCTAAACAGGAAATGAGATAACTTCAAAAAAAATGTTAATTTCATGAATAACCCCTTCGAAAAAATCCATAATAATCGATTATAATGGGTTTTATTGGCATAAAAATTTTTAGGATTATAATTCAATTTTAGTGGATTCTAATCGATTATAATGGATTATATTGACAAACAAAATATTAGGATTATAAACCATTTTATTTTGAATGGATTATAATCGATTACTTTGTCATTTTATAGATACTAACCGTATTATGACAATTTACTCGATTCTGATCCATGGGCGCTCATACGCGAAGGACCGAATGCGGGAAAACAAAAATCAACCAATCAAAAGAAAGTGAACATCTCCAGGGACTGAATTTTGAGATTGAGCGAATATAAAAACGGCAGAATTATGCAAAAGTTTCAAGCTGCCATTGACAGCCCCCGAATTGGAACAAATTTTATAGTTATAAAAGAAGCAAAAAATAGCTTCATTTAATTCATTTCAAAGAATGGCAATTGTTTCTTTGTGAAAACTGATTTTCGGCTAGTTTTATTTTCCGTCTTGCGCTCACGAGTTTTTCGCTCATTCGGTCCTTCGCGCATGATAAAAGCCCCCATTATAGGCCACACAAATCATATTAAACAATTAGAGTAAAAGAAAAAGCCGTCATTTTTTCCAATATTCTGACATGAATTGTCAGTCTTGCGATATAAGCAAAAAAGCGGGACAATCATATAAAAATTCTTCAGGCTATGGCACATTGTTCATAATAAATAATAATGACATCTGATGAAAAAGGCAATTATAATGACAATTAAAATGACAAGTTAGAGATAGTGATTCAGCTATTGTCTTAATTATTATGGCGACCAAAATACTGCCCGAACAATAACATAGAAGAAGCTGGCAAACAAAATTGATTGTTTTTGTACTCAACCTTTTGTCCCATTCTATTGTACTCGAAACTCGAGAAAATGATACGATATATAATTATATATATAGATATATATATTTTTTTCTTGCTTTTTATTGCTTCTAAATAAAACAACGATTTTTCCTTGCATCTAAATTGGTTTCGAAACAAACTAAGATTTTTTTTTGAAACACGATAAACTTTAGAGTAATTGGTTAACCTGAACACCATATCTTTATTTTAAAAAATGGTATTTCTAGGATTAGGTGAAGTTTGTTTCTCGGCTACTACCATTGTTATAAAACACTCCCAGCTAGCTTCCTCCATTTTTTAAAAAACATTCTTGGCTTTGTTAGAACCTATGAAAGCAAAACTGCTCTTCTGTTCTGAATTTGAACATAATGAAACCCATATGTCCTTTCTTCATGCTTCCTTGGTACAGGTCCATATCTATTACTTTGCAAATCCCAAATGTTTAACTGTATATATATATATATATATATATATATATATATATATATATATATATATATATATATATAGCAAAACAAACAACAAACAATCAAAGATAGAGATTTGTTTTCACCAACTCAGTTTCAGAAAAAGTTCACACGGAATAATTTGAAGCAAAAAAGATCAAAAATTAAAATTGATTTGTAACAGCAGCTCACTTTTAGATAAATCCCTGAAAAAGGAAAGTAGAGGTTATCCATAGTTTCATAGTAGGATATTCAAAATATTTAGCTGTTTATCTTACTACAATTGATGAAACGCCTATTTTGATTCCAAGAAGCAAATAAGATATGAGGTTAGAACCTGTTTTTCTAAACGCAAGTTAAGTTCTTCAGCTAAATTAAACGGAGTTTTGGTACAGTGCCCATTACATTTTACATACTGATAACAAAAAATGCATGAATAAAAACTCTCTTTCTTGATAAAGGGCATATTGTTTTGAACGGAGAGTTTCATATCCATGTTGGTCCTGAAAACAAATTCTGCGTTCAATCATTGCACAATTTTGTTTATGCAAACTTCTCAAAATTTTTTATGCGAAATTCGAAAAAAGATTAGAAGTTTTATTGAGAAGCATTTTTGATTAAAAAATTTATACTCTACGACAAAAAGCAGCTTTTGTTTGCGTCAAATTGATTATCGAAAAAACTTTAAAAAATTTCCAAAGCAGTTAAATGGTTCCGAATGTAAACGCTTTATATTATCAAGCTCTACAACAAAATTTAAAGCCTACTTTAAAATAGGCTTCTTTCGTAGCCTTGTTATGTTCTCCCTGGGCGGAGGTACTCAATTCATATTTCGACTTTCACATTTAAGCACATTTCAGTGCTCGACTAAAAAAGAATAGTCAAGACAGGGACTTGGGTCGAGCAAAAAATCGAACCATACCTCGTGCACAGTCGAGCATTCGGTCAAAACATACGTCGAGCATGGTTGAGTACGTTCAAGCACGGTCGAAACAATCCTCGAGTACGGTCGAAAAACACCAATTTTCCCGAGTTTTCGAGTCAAAAGGAAAAATTTCTTTCACATAATTTTTCAGCATAGTTTTTCATATTTTTGACTCAAAATGCAACCTAGAATTTCAAAAGGTGGAAAAAATTAGTTAAATTGCAAATAATTTTAATCATTTCATTCTTATACAAAGTCATCATAAGATATTAACCAAAAAGCATAAATTTGAAAGTTTAAATTTGGATAACTCGTGTTGTTTGAAATTCATAACATATACAAGTTTGGTCAAACATTTCTTGCTTGGGTCGATTACGGTGGAGCATCTTTTCAGTCGAGACTGTCGAAACATAAATGAGCACCTCGACCCCGTTATATTCTGATTCTCTATAAAAATTTTAAAGAAAGCCTTCTGATTCTAACTATTCGATTGAACTTCCTTTAAACTCAAGGTTTTTCCAGGTCCAATTTGTTGGGTGGGCACATGCTATGAGAGCGAGAGTAGCCAACAGTGTTCGGCCAGATTCTCAACTGCATCATCTAATGACTTCACACAAACTGACTGGCTGCCTATAATGGGAAATACTGGAGTGTGCTTTGTAATACTGGTATACACAGAAGACACTCGCATCCTAGATTATCCCAAGAAGAATTACTTAGGGATTATGTCAGTTACAAGTTCAAGTTTACCATCTAAGTTATTCATTTCAACTCACTGAGATTTTGAAAAACAAAAGGAAAAATCCCTTGTAATTTCTTAAGTATGCAAGGGTTTTACGCAATCTTTGTAGCCTTTTCTTTGTTCATTTTGAAAAAGAAAAAACGTTGTTTCAAGATAACTTAAGTGTTAGGTACCACACACAAACACTTCAATTAAAATCACCTATCTGAAATTTGGCAAAATAAAAAGAGGTTAATCTTACCTTAAACTTGTTTTGAATTTATATGAAAAAATATTTAGGGTAATTTTAGCCTAGTTTTAGTTAAAATGGATTAAGGTAAAACCAAAACACAACTAACAGATTTTGTCACAAAATCAGAATTTCGTTAAATGCCGTTTATGATACCGACTTTCGAAGAAAGGGACAGAAAATTTGTGCTAGGGGTGTTTTTTTATCCTGACAAATTTGGATTTTTAACTAGCCAATTTTGACGGATTTTTGTGAAATCATTCGTCGAAAAGTCTTGTTGTCCTGAGCTCAAACTAAACGAAAAAAATCTCTGATTATTTTTTGTAAAGTTATGGGGATTTTAAGACTGCCAATATGCCCAATGTTGTACATTTAACGCGCGATATATTTTGTGCTATTAACTCTTAAGCGGAGATTTAATCTGTCTTCTTAGAAATTGTTCCAAATTGAAAGTCAAGCTAGTTAGTCTATTCAAAATTTTGCTTTCTGTAAAATATATCATTTTTCTCTTAAACTGGATAGATAGCTCTAGGAAGATGATTTTCAAAAAATCTCAAATTCTATATATATATTTTTCTAAATCTTCATTGTTTTTTTTCCGTAGACTTTAAAAGGCATTCGGAACTCTCAAAAATTCGCCCTGATACAAGCAGTCTTTTTTATTTTAGCTTTGTTTTCAACCCTTAAAAAAGCTAAAATTTAAGACAAAGAATAACACTTTTAAGATTCTCTGCTATCCCATTCTTCCCAGTAATCTATTCGTAACTGTATCCAACTGTTTTTTGCAATTGCCCGTAATCATGAGGACCAACATGTAAATTTGAGAAAGATTTGATGTCTAGGTTCCATGACAAATTACCCTATTCCAATCTACCGAGTTGACTCCCTCGGTTTAAGGTCGTCTGCGATAACAGGCTCCAATTTTTTTATAGTGTCCTACCATCTGTTGGCAAACACGCAACACGTTGGCGCGACCACTTTTGTGCAGTTTTTAATCCGTCTCAAACTTAGGCGGAGGGTAGATCGGCGTAAGTAGATTGGCGTAGGGTAGATTGGCCTTGGGTAAATTGTTATGTGGGTAGAATGGCGTAGAGTAGTATGGTACCGGGTGTGTTGGAATAGGGCAGATTGACCTGCAACAGATGTAGGTTTTGTTTCAATTTTCGGGATGCATTTTTGGAGCAATTTGATTCCAACTAAGTTATGTTCTATATGCAAAAAATTTTATGAAAAATAAAATTACCGGAAAAAGACTTATAACAACCATTTTGCATATTTAAATTTAAATAATTAGAAAAACTTAGAAAAATTTAAAGATTTGAAGTCATTTACCACTACCCAAGTACGTATTAACTTATTTTTAAGGACCATAAAGTTATATCCAAGAGCGACTATCCAAGAAAGTTATACCCCTTCAAGTATTATTTTGCGACTTCCCTTTTCGGCCAACCGACCATAAATTTTCTCTGAAGGCAAAAAACGCAATTTTTTATCCAAAAAGTGCCTATTTACACCTATTTTTGGCCTATTTACAAACAATTCCCTGAGGGGCAGATATTTTGGTCAAAATGGCGTGCTTATAGAGTTCTGGGAATGCTTGGAAAGTTAATTTGATCGCCCAAAACATAAAAGGAAAATCCGCCCCTATTGAAAAGTTTTTAGATGCACCACCGTACCCTTGACAATTAAAGCGTGTCAACCCTTAAAAATGCTTTAAAACTTTAAAATGTTAATTTACCTTAAAAGTTTGCATCAAAACGTAGAAAATTTTACTTTTAGGTAATTTGTTTCAAATTAATTTTTATAAGTTAAACTATTTTTTAATTTGCCTCAAGTTAGAAACCAAGGTATTTATCTCTTAACGGCTAAGGTAAAAACTCCGATTAAAAAAACACTTCATTTTTTTTAAGTAAAGTTTTTTTTTTGATTTTAAATACGAAACTAAGGTACATAATTCTCAACTGCCAAGATAAAAACGCTATTTACTGACGCTATTTATAAAAACGCAATTTTACTGAAAAAAAACGGTTCAGGTTTTAACCTTGACTTTTTTTTGAACGAAGTTATTTTGAATTAAAAAAATTGTATTATTGGTAAAATAATTACTTTGTTAATGTGAGTTTTGACACTAAATTTAAGTTTTAAAAAATTTTATGGTTTTCTATGTGTGTTAAAAGTCATATAATTTAGTTTTTAATGTACGTATTTGTGAGGTTTCTTATGGTATTTATACTTTTGTTAAGGTGCGTCTACATAAAATTGTGAAAATGCTTCTAGATAGTTTGAGTCGATTTTTTAATGCGTAGGATAAGCCATTAACGATAGCTGCTAATTGATTCGACCAAGTTGTTTTTCTGCTTTTGAAACTACAGTGCTGATTTAAATTAACCGGACAAAACGCGTTCAACTTGAAATTTAAAACCCGTTTATCTCAAATTGAGTTGAGTTTAGGTGAAAACTTATCAATACAAAACTTGCTAAAAATTTTAGCAGAATTAATATGGTGGAATTTGTGTTGCGAAATTCGGGCCTGAAATTTTACCCCAAAAATTGGTCATTTTGGTTTTTCTTAGTTAATCAAAATTAACGCCAAAAATACCCAGTCGATCACAGACATAACTATATCAAAGTGAGCCTATTACGTAGCCCAACAAACTTTAAGAAGGGTATAATCTCCAAAAAAAATTGCAAAGTGTTTAAAAATTGTTTTTAAATAAAAAGTTGGTATTTTATATAGTAAAAACGACCTTTTTTGTCTATCAAACAAAAATAAATTAATTTATACAATATTTTGGAGATTATATCTTTGTTAAAGTTTGTTGGGCTACGTAAGAGGCTCACTTTGATATAATTATGTCTGTGATCGACTGGGTAATTTTGGCGTAAATTTTGATTAATTAAGAAAAGCCAAAATGACCCATTTTTGGGGTAAAATTTTGGGCTCGAATTTCGCAACACACATTACACCATATTAATTCTGCTAAAATTTTAAGCAAGTTTTGTCTTCATAAGTTTTCACCTAAGCTCACCCCAATTTGAGAAAAACGGGTTTTAAGTTTCAAGTTTAACGCGTTTTGTCCGGTTAATTTAAAGCATCACTGTATTTTCTGAACGTTTATGAAAATCTTCTAACCGTTTTGACTGGAATTGGTTGTATTTGAGTATGAGGATTGACTATAAAACGTTCAATTTTGCTTTGTTCCTTCATATATTTTTCAATCGACTCCACCAAAATTGGATTTTGTAGGTTTAGACCTAAATCAATTGTGCTCAAACATCCTCGAACCAATTTAGGTTTACAACAACAGCCCTGAACAAACTTGAGTTCGAGTCATGTTCCCAAATTAATAAAACAATGTCTATTTTGTATTGTTGCCCATGTCAACCTTTGATGTCGAAAATTTACAGTCTTGCGATTGAAAACCCGCTATAGAAAAGTTGTTTCATATCATGAACAAAAGTGAAGTAATTTCGATTGCCGCCAATAAATCTAAAACATAGGCCCAGCGCTCCCCATCTTTTTATTTTTAACGCATTTTTTTCAATTTTTGATGAAATTGTAAATTCACAGTGAATCAAAAAGGCTATAACAAATTGCACCCGACAGATAAATGCAATCAGCTACAATCAGTTGAGGATAGATTTTGTAACCGAGAACGAGAATTTTCAGATAATATTATTCTAAGAGATGATCCAAAACCTATAACACTTTTGAAAAAGCTGTTAGCTCTAACTAAAATGACGTAGACCCATAGAAATTTAACGGTTCCCGCGGTGAGAAAAAATACTTAAAAAGTTTTTTCAGGATGTCGTTTTTTTCAAAAAATGACAACAAAAAATAAACAACATTCAGAAAAATTGCCAATTTGTTTAATTTTTTTGCAGAAGTTTGTTTTTGAAAAATAATTTTTTTAGATATCAAGCTAGCCTTAAAGAACGTTCAAAAAATGATTTTATCGAAATTAAACTAAAAGTTTTGGCGCATCGTTCTCTAATAAACCTGTTTGCTTGCTTTACCCTCTCGAAATTAGACTAAAACTCAACAAAAATTTCACACCGGATGATTATTTGTGGTACCTGACTTTGCGTGGAAAACAAAAAAAATGAAAGAAAAAATTTAAAACACATTCGAGTTTTTAAGTTCCTTTATTGGTCCTTCAGAAAAAAAAATTAATAAATTTAACCTAGAAAAGCTCATAAATCAAAAGCGAAAACACCACGAAACCAAAAAATGCACTGGATAGGCTCAAAGTTTTGAGTACGTTTGTTCCTGGATTCCAGCGATAAGTCTTTGAATATGTTCAAAAGTTTCCGTGAATTCCGAGTACAAATTCCTGTAGCGCGATCTTTGCGGCACATAATTTTCGTTGCGGATTCAGCAACGAGTGAATATAAGTAGTTGTTCCAGATTCCGCAAATTGATGCGAATTCCCCCTACAACTTGTGGATTCCACTTACATTTGCAGATTCCAAGACATCCTAAGTTTACTAAACACATATGTTAATATTTATTTATGGACTCCTCGAACTGTTCCGGGTTCCAAAAGTTTTGTTGATGACTCCTTGTTTTTGGAGCGATTTTGAGCAATACAATGTTTTAGCAGTTTGTCCGTGGAATCCAAAACAGCACAGAAGATTTAAAAAGTAGCATTGTTGCGGATTCGGCAATAATTCAGTTTTTGGCCTGTTGAGGAATCCCCTTAAAATTGACAAAATGCAGTTTGGCATCGCAGTGAAAAAAAATTACTATGCTATATCAATCGAGCCCATCTGACAGTGATTAGCAACACTTGCTTTTAAATGAACAAAATATTTCTTAAAATTTCTATTTTAGAGAACAACCTTAGTACAAAATTCCTTCTAAATTGTTTCGCAACAAAACAATGGTTCAGAAAGGCAGGCTTGAATTATTTTGGTCGATTTGCAGTGAGTTATAAATGACTCGAGCAAAAATGGAGACAAACTTTTTTCGGTCGGGAACATTGAGACAAGCGAGCTAAAGTTGATCTTGATCCAGCCCGTAAAAACTTATTAAAAGTGTCGGGCTATTTCTATTTTTTTGAACTATTTACTCGAAAAGTCGAGAAAATTTTCATAAATTTTTTTAATGTGCCCTTCCCCAGCCCTCGAGAAAATCTTAGATCCGCCCTGCTTATACTTTATACTTTATACCCATGAAATGCATTCATACTTTGCTTAGCTAATTCCTGATTTCACTTTTTTTTTATTTTAGCCAAGAGGATGCAAGACCCTCTGAAACTGTGGATGTTCCCGGAATACCCGATGGAGTTCTGTTCGAAGGTCAATCCAGCTGCTACTATGCCTGCGTCATCGGCATGTGAGCGTTTTTAAGTAGAATTTTACTAACACATTCGAAGAAAAAATGGATCATTTCTGCTCGGTGTAGTTTTTTACCAGACAAATTTTGTTTTGTAAAGCTGCCCTTTATAAAACTCAAATTCAAAAAGATCTTTTACCTGTGGCAATTTTCCGTGAAAAGATATGATCTTGAGAATTGGCAAATAAGTACGAGAATTCAATTAATTGCACCAAATTTGCTTTTCTTCTACTAACGGACAAAACAATCCAAAAAAACTGCTCGTATCAGGGCGAAGCGCTGACTCTTCCGACTTGGAGCCCTTAGTCGTCTTGGAGCAGATTTTCAAAACACCAATTACAAAAATTGATGAAATTTTCAAAAAGAAAGTAATTTTTTTTAGTTTTTTTTTCATTGAAAAAGTCGCCTCAAAGGCTATGCCAAGTACAAAAGAATGGGACCAAGTTAACATCCTCACCCCAAAGCAACTTGGCGGAAAGGATGTTAACTTGGTTCTAAGTGGGAATTTTCAGCCAAAGATGATCAAATATATTGTAGTTTCAAAAATTTTTTATCCGATTGTCTCGATTATCCTGCCTTAATGCAAATTGGAACAACTATGAGCGAACTAAATAGCGGCTTACGTGCTAAAAGCACAAATTTGGCACAAATTGAAAACTTAAAAGCACAAAATGGCTACTTCCAGATCTTATAATTCCACAAAAAATTCACAATTTAAATCATCTGTAAGATAAAAGAAAATCCATCAAAAATCTTCCCGTTTAATTTCCGATTGCCGTTTAGGTTGCCGTTTAAAATATCGATAACCGTTTAAGGTCAATCAAAGTTTTTCAAATCAAAAACTGATAAATTGCAAAAAAAATTTAAAAATTCAAAATTTTGATTTTTTTTCTTCTGAATTTCACGCCCTTTTCAGTGACATTGTCATCCGGTCTGGATCGATAAGTTCAGTATACACATATGTTATTTATATTTTTCATTTTTTATATTAACCTTACTCGGTTGGTCGGTCGGTTGACCTTGATAGGCGTCAAAGATGAACTAGTTATTTTATACCGCTTTTCTTGAGACTCTTTATTTATCGATCCATTCGGATTCAAAAACTAGATATTCATACGCAGAGGTATGACATGGCGCAGCTAGCAGGATATTCAAAAAACCCGATGAATGTTGACCCGTTTTGGGAGAAGGCGTCAGCCGAGCCACCATTAGAGTCGTCCAAGTGGGCAGCAATACTGTAGATGACAGTATTCGCAAAGGACGGAATTGTAGTAAGAAACCTGCTAAGAGCCAAACCACCACTAGTTGAACCCCCAGAACCTATATACTAGATCAAAACACGGTAAAAACGCAGGCATAGAAAAAGAATCGAGATGTTCGAAACCAGGAAAAACGAGTCGGTTGGGAAAACCACGTCATAAAAGCTCGAAAAAAAGGAGTACTATGCAATTCATTACGGTGGGACGAAGCAGACGCGAAATTTGGTAGCGATTTTTTTCTATGTCCAAGGGCAAAAACTAGTCCAACAGAAAAGACCAAGCTTGCAACAACTCACTGTCACCACACAAACCCTAATGACAACGCTTGAAGAAATCGTTCGTTGTTACGATCAGAATCGTAGCCATCGAAAGGTAAAGCTTTATCTGTAGGAAACAAAAGAAATCGGAGAGGCTTGAACAGTTCCATGCGGATCTAGTAGAATTGCCTAGCTTCAGGAGCTGATTGTGGGGACTGCGAAGACGAGTGGGCGAGATACATGTTCACCGCGCATATGAAGAAGGAAAAAATTGCGGAAAAACTATAAACACAAACACGGAGTTCAAAAATTGCATACCAATACGCAATACGCCGGGAAAAAGGAATTGAACACAGTCGCACAATAATTAAACACGTTCGGAGGACAAACTTTAACAACAAAACAAGAGCCGGTACATTACATAAACACACGTGGCCGACATAACTACTCAAACAATAAAATTTCACAAAAAGGCCCGGGAGTTTTCCGCGGTCGACCGTATCCATGTGGAACACAAGAGGACAACAACGGTATACAATCTTGAACATTCAAAAACAAAGTTACAAATGCGGAAACCAATTCTGACAAAATCACCTACAATCTTGCTCGGCAAAGGACAAGATCTTTTCAAAATGCGACAAACGAGGGCATTTTGCAAAGGTCTGTCGTTCCAAAATCGTTAACTACTTAGGAGATCGACATGATCAACAGCAGGAAGAAATTGAAACAGAAAACATGGAAACTGAAATCGATCCCGTGGCGTTTGCTGAGTTCAGTTCAAAAAATGGATGGAACGTTTACCAAATAGACAAATTCTAGGTTATGGCTAATGTCGGATCTTTTGAGATTAAAAACACAACTACTTTGTACGAGGATGATTTAAAAGGCCTCATCGTTAATTTGAAAAGAAACACAGAGGAATTATTCGCTATCGCTGAATCGGGCAGTCCAATGTCATTTCCAAGCGGCGCATACAACCGCACCGCACGTACAACCGAACGACAAGTCAGCACTACTCAAAGGCATCCCACCAGAGGACAATGCTAGAAATCTAGCATGCTACAATGGCGAAACAAAAAATCCGAAAGGAAGATTGATAATAACGGTTGAATCAGAAGGCTGGAAATTCCAGACAGCTCCATTCATTATAGTCGATGACCAAAAAGCGAACATCATAGGAAGAAAGATATTACGGAGAATAAACTTTAAGTCAATCCAGGAAAAGCAAAAACAAAACGTGTTAAATATACGCGAGCAGGAGGAGTCAAACCCAGAGAATAAACCATGGGTCTGAGATAATTTCCAAGAACTCTGTGTCCGTATTGGAAAATCAAAACACCATGTGATGAGAACTCAATTCAGCAAAGATTTCAACCCAATTCAACAAAAAATTCGACGTTTTCCAATACATCTACAAGAACGAGTTGGAGCGGAATTAATCAAGCTAGTGGACCAGAAGCGCATTATCAAGTTAGATAAGTGTTATGATCGACAATTTATCAGCCCAATCGTCATAACAATAAAAAAAGGATCAGACAGTCAAATTAGCGGTAGACTCTAACAAAATAAACAAATTCATCCATAAAAACAAATACCAAATGCCCATTTTTGACTTACTTCTGTCGACAACATCGCACAGGTGGTCAAATCGGACAGATCAAAACAAATGCTATTTTCTACACTCGACCTTCGTTACGCACACTCGCAAATCCCTTTGGATAAGATGACCAGAGAACAATGCAATTTTAACCTTATTGGTGGCAACGCCACCGGGACATATCAATTCCAAACAAGATTCTATGACCTAACGGATATGCCGGCTGAATTTCAAAAAGCAATTGATCTAACTCTTAGGGATTGTACTAATACCTACGCATACTTAGGCCACATATTGATAAAAACAAGAGGGTCTTTGGGTTTGCACCGACAGAAATTACAGGCAGTTCTGACAAAATTAGACGAAGAAAATCTTGCGATATCATTGGATAAATGTAAGTTCGCATGCAAACAGGTTGGGGTTTAACATCAAAAGCGAGGGAACAAAACCCCTTACAAAGAAAACGGAGGCCATTGAAAAGTTATCGCCACCAAAAATTTTTAAACAATTAAAAACTTTATGTGCTCCATACATCATCTTACACGATATATACAAAAATTAGCACAAACAACAGCTGCCTTACCCCCACTGTTAAAAACTACAGAAACATTAAACCACTCGACTGGCAACCAGAGCAAAACACAGCCTTCAATAACATCTACACTGTGAAATTGGAAAATCTGCCCATCTACCACAGGGTTAGGAGCGTCAATAGAACAAAATTCATCAGGAGGTTGGGTAGCCGTAGCCTAAGCATCACGTCTCTTAAAATCCCTCGAGGAAAATATTCCGTAAATGAACTAGAGCTATCAGGGGTCGTGTGGGCAATTGAACATTTTAGTACTATCTCTATGGAAAGCCCTTTACCGTCATTACAGATCATCAAGCTTTAATTAGCGCACTAAATGCGAGTGAACGATCAAAAACAAGTCAGAGCAGGCTAACGCGCTGGATTGATCACCTGATACCATTCCACTTTGACATTAAACATCCTTGCTAGATGCTGGTTCAATTGCTCAATTAACACCTAAACATTCCAAAGATTCCGCAAGCGGTCAATTGCAATCTCACAACCAAATTTAGTTTCAATCAAAACCTGCTCATAACAAGTCAGATCTTCCGCATTCAAAAAAGCTAAAAACTCAGCCAAGCTGCAAAATCTCATCAACGCGATCTCATCAAAGCATACACAAGTCTGACAAGGATGATGAGCCCCAAACAAATGACAAAAGGATTCAAGGGAGTTTTTTTCCCTCAGAGCTAAAAGCAACAGAGCCACGGGGCAGGAAAGAATCAACCTCAAAATGGCAACGCTCAGCGGACCGCGAAGAGAGCCTATCTGACCCGAGATGGCACAAGCGACCCCAAAATCATTAGTTCAAGATGCAAGGGAACTACTATCGACAAAAAACAAGAGGCAAGGACGAAATTCACCAAAATTTTATTTGGAGACGACACCACCTCGGAAAAAACGACAATAATCAACAAACAAAGGGACATCAACACGAGCCGCACATACTGAAACGCCCACGTCAACAATGGATACACAAACCTAGCCCGAGAGGAGGGAAAAGAACGAGGACACAGGAGAAATTTGTTTTAGCCGCGTGGACCCCAACATATCCATGCAAGAAGAAAAGGAGTAAAATCTGTAACTACCGACAAAGACGACAACAACGCAGTTAGAAGCCAGTCACTATATAATCACGCAGGGAATACTCGCAATAGTAGAGAAGGCCACAACGGCCGCAAACACAACAGAAGCGGAGGAGGACACACCACTGTTTCGCCGGAAGTTGAAACGGGAACTAGAAGTAGGATTCATTTCTGCTGCCACAAAGAAGGATAGGAGTTTACTCACCTTATAAACTTCGTTAAAAAGAGAAGCTGAGAAAAATCTTACCGACAATAATGGCACAACATTAGAAACAGACTGCACGATCCAAGATCGGCAGTCAAGTTAGATTTGTGCCAACATGTCTGATTTCCACACATCCACCGATCCATCGTAGAAATGGCTCAAAGCTGCAGACACTGCACGGAGCAAGGTAATAACTTAAAACCCATTATGGGAAAAAACATTCATTCCAAGTGGAACCAGTGGTAGAGTACAACGAAGAGGTTCAACTATATTTCGAGGGCCCTCCCGAATGAACTATATAGGGACGCATACATTTTGGTTGCAATAGATGAATGGTCAAAATTCCCTTTGCAAAAGTTGTTTCGAATACAAGAGCAGATGTTGCCATTAAGTTCATCCAAAGTCTAATAACGGGGTACCTCGAAGATTAAAAGGCGACCAGGCGCAAACATTTAGGACTAAAAAAACCTCCATCTTTTTTTTGCAGTACAAAAATCAGATAGCGACAAATATAAACTACTTTTTGCCCAAGTCGACGATCATAGAGCAATAGGAGTGGTCGAGAGACTGATTCAAACATAAGAACGCAAGTTATCCGTCATGAAAATAGATAAAATAAACACACCATACAAACTCGCTTCCGAGGTGGCAAAGATTGTAAAATTACTAAGAATCACGCCACATGGCGTCACAAAAATTTCACCATTTGAAGCACACATGGGTTGAAAACCAAAAAACTACCTTTCAAATGTGTAACCAAATAAATAAAACAGGGAAAGTGCAAACCATGCATGTTTAAATAGAAAAACCTTACAAAGCCGCCACTACCAGTGGAAAAATTCATGACCTCCAACGGTGGTCTGAAGTATCCATCAGAAGACGGGAACAAAAAATGAAACCACGAATGCCGAAAAATCTTCAGAAAGCAAATTCACCACAACAGCAAGACACAGGTGCAAACTCTAAAACTAGCCAGGGAAAGGTCAAATGTAAGATACAAAGGGGGTACAGGCGACAATAGACAAAATACAAAAAAAACGCATAGACCAGGTGACACGAAAAACATTTACAATAGCAACAAACGTAAATTATCCGAAAACATCGAGCAAAATTTCAAAACCAAAGACGGGAAAGTCCTCACTGCCTACGTTTTTCAGACATTGAGAACCCTAACGCTCCTAAATACACCCGATGTTCAAAGAGGACAAAGAGGCAGGATTACCGGTAAAACTAACTCGACAAAAGAAGAAAACAAGCCAGGTCAACAAGAGCAGCCCAACAAAAAGAAAGGCCAAAGCTACAGGAAAACGAACAGGCGGGCACCCGACACAGAAGTTGCAAACTTCTTGCGGAATGAATTTACAAACAGAGGAGAAGGTTGAAAAGAAACATAATAATACCCGGGAGAAAACAAAATCCAGTGGATCAGATAGCGACGATAATTCGTCAACATGCTCAAGAGACATCGCACCATTGCCTAAGAGCCTAAATCAAAATGTACGCCTCCCACAAAGGCAGCAGTGCCACTTCGAAAACCAATGCGAAACCGCCAGTCGGCGCTCTCGAATGCACTCGGGAATCTTGTCCCGATGAACGCGATAAACACAAACGAAGTCAGAAAAAACTCTTCAATTTGAAATTGACTCGCCGCCAGAAAAGACAAGCAAAGACACCTATCGGAGCCTAAAATCGCTCATACAAGAAACGGGGTTTACTGAGAAGACAGCGGAATATCAAGCATGCGTGAACTTTTTTGAAGCCATTCGCCCAAAAACAAAACAAAACGAAACAGACAGACGTAGTGGACTTAACATCACCAACAAAAGATGGAACGAACAATAACAACAATGAAATCCTATTTGTGAAGCAAAAAAAAAATGATATGAAAGAAGACAAGAAAGAAAAGGAAGACGAACAATTATACGAAGAAGAGGAACATTGAAACAAAGATGGAACACGAGCAGAGGTGTAATGAAACAGAAAAGAGGAATCAAAAGTCCCACGGGGACCAAAAAAACTCAAAAGTTCAAAACATTTTGCTGAGGTTGTCCCGCTGAGGGGGAATGCCATCCGGTCTGGATCGATAAACTCAGTATAAATTTATGTTAATTATATGATTCATATTTTATGTTAACTTTACTCAGTTGGTCGGTCGGTTGACCTTGATAGGCGTCAAACATAAACTGTGTCTGAACTATTGTTCAGTCTTGAATAAATGTTGTCTATCAACTAATTGTTTTACACCGCTTCGGTCGAGACTCTTTGTTAATCAATCCATTCGGATTCGAGAATTAGATATTCATACTTAGAGGTATGACAAACGTTTTGGAAAGTGAATTATTTTGAGTCTATTATCGCATTATTAGAAGCGAATTACCTAACTCACTATTTTTAAACAATTAGTTTGCTGCTTATGTTTAAATAGAAAAATTTTCCGATTGTTGTTTAATTTCAATAAAAAAGTTTTTTTCTGATCAAAAATTTATTGATTTGTTTTGAATTTTTTTTTTATTTAACGCCCTTCACGTTTTTAATGTAGATAGTGACATATTTTGATCCTATTAGCGCATTTTTAGGTGCTTAGTGCTTAACTTAACAATTTTTGAACGATTAAATTGCTGCTTATGTTTAAATAGCTCAAAATAATCCGATTGCCGTTTAAAAACAATCAAAATATTTTTTTTTCGGTCAAAAATTGATTAATCACTAAAAACTCATTTTATAAGTTTTAATTTTGTTTTATTCAATTTTTTTTACCCCTTTAACACTTTTTAAAGTAGAAAGTGACATATTTTAAGTCTATCAGCGCATTATTAGGAGAAATTTGCTTAACTCGATATATTTTTGAGCGATTATTGTGCAGCTTATGTTTAATTAGCACGACATGTACAGCTCATCAAAATGGCTTGTTAAACAGCCGAAATAATCGCAGATTAAAAATTTTAGGCTGATAAGATCCATTTTTAAGGGTTGAATTTGAGTCGTTTATGGAACTAAAAAAAAAATTATTTTTTGCCTCATTTCTGTTTGGAAAGATTTTCTGATGCGATATAATGAAATTCGTGTTACACTTTTCAGCATTTACGTAAAAAACGAGCACGGAAATCCAGAGTTCGATCCCCTGAGAGCGAAAAATTTTCGGCGATAGGGCTGAATAAATAAAGCACCCCGAGCATATATATTCTTCACTTTCTTCGAAAGTCGGGACAATAAAACCACCCAGGCATGAAAATTCCGTCATTTTTGTCGAAAGTCGGATCAATTACAAAAAGATTACAGTTGGAAGCTAAATTTTCTTTTTCATGAAAGCTGTATTATTGTTTGAACAATTATCAGCGAAGAGTGTTCGAAAACCGGGCTAATGACTACTTTAATTTCTTTTAATATTTTTCTAGCCTCTAAAAATTGCATTTTTCTACAGTGTTTTTCTATTAGCTTTTAAATTTTTTTAAATGCTTTTTATGTTTCTAAAAAGAGTTGGCAATATCTCTCAATTACTATTCGTTCCTATAGGCAAAATTCCATTTTCGTAGTTTAGCTCTTTGTTTTTAGTTTTTTTTCTCAATAAGCAGGGTGTTTTTTTCAATTATGACACTTTCTTTTGGTGAATATTCGTTTTGTTTTTCAGTTACAATTTCGCCTTACCGGCGAACAGTTCGGTACTTCCTGTGGTAATCGAGGACCGTCAATGTGCTCAGGCATCTAGAAACTACTGTTGCGATACTGACTGGTGTTTCGATCCGACAACATTCAATGACGCTTCCTCGTCAAGTTTCAACAAACAGTGTATCAACATAATGAGAAGAGAGAACATTGCCGCATGGGAAAACACAAAACTTTGCCTATTCCCAGCGCGTTAGTCAATCATTTTAACACAAAACCAAAAAAAAATTCTGGCCAAAATTTATTTGAACCGTTATTTAGTGAAGAGTATTTAGCCCTGAAAAAAGGTTAATAGTATTAGAATTTTCCAGTGATGATTGCAATTTTGCTGCATTTTTTCCCGTCATGTCAAAACTTTGCTGATTTAGTCTACTTAACATCCTCCCTTTTTTGAAGGGATTGTTCAGTAGACCCATTTAAAAGTATTTAAATAATTAAACGGACAATTTAGATTATACTTAAAATAAGACTTCTTGTTTCAGGGCAATCTATATTGGAGTAGCGTTGGCCTTAAAACGTTGATGAAAGTTTCAAAAAAATTGGGAAACTTTCTAAAAACCATCCCCCTACTCGCTCTGTAAAGTACAAAGTGATATAGTTTGCAGATAGCAAAGTATCAAAAAGACCAAATAGAAACTAAATATACAATTAAATACTAACTAAATATGCAAACTAAATACCAAACTGATATATGGGGCTGAGTGGTTAATAGAAAAGCCCAAGTATTAACCAGTTGCCATATGAGAAGTCGAAAAAACGAAACTGCATCATGGAAGTTCCTGCACTGGAGTTTCATGGGAAAAAATGATTATAATGGATTGTATCGGCAAAAAACTTAACCCATATAATCGATTATCACGACCCATCCAACCATGAAAAAAGATTTTTAGGGGATAGTTTTCGATTATCTTCAATAACTAAAAACCCATTATAATCGATTATTTTGACAATATAGTGATTTTTTAGGCCACCCAAATCCATGAAAATCGATTTTTCTGCAGAAAACTGCAGCTAATTAAAATCTTGTAACATTTGGCAACGTGCTGCAAATTTGGGACGCGAACAAACATGGGATCAAATTAACATCCCCCCTCCAATTAGACCAAGTTAATATCCTCCACCCCAGCGTTCAGTTTAATTTGATCTACTTAGCGCTGCATATAAAATGCTCTATTCTGATTGGCTGAAAATTCGAACTCAGAACCAAGTTAACATCCTCCCCCTAAACTGATATTTTTTTTGGGGGGGGGGGGGGAGGATGTTATCTTGGTACCAAACATGTTCATCCCTTACCTGAAAAACCCAAAAAAAATTGTCGGCCCCTTCTAACCCCAAGCTTACCACCCCCCCTAACTTATCCATTCGCTTTTTACACCTACCGCCCCCTACCCCCACCATCTACCCTGCCACCACCACCTCATCTACACCTCCTTTCCCCCCACACCCGCTTTGGGAGGGGGTATTTAATGGTTGAAGGCTGTCGGGGGGGATGTTAAACGGAACACCTCTCCCTACTTGAGAGAGCTCAGGCGTTTAGGCCACCGCCACCGTGTGGGGGGAGGGGGTTTTGCAGATAACTGGTCTTTTTATACACCAGTTATCGAAAGTATGGGGCTGTCGAAACCGGGGATGTAGTTCGCTTTTTACAGTACGCCTCTGCCAAATGTGGGCGAAAAGTTGAAAGGATCGATTTTTCTCCAGATTTTTACAAGTGCGCCCATGTAACCAGCACCCATTAAACTTTGACTCACTTGCAAAAGCTCACCTTGCAAATAACAGTGCTAGGGTACGCGGGATCTGCACAATCGGGTACGCCTCTGCACTGAATGGTTGACTAAACCAAAAAACTGGGTTGAAGTCGTCTTTAATGAAAAAAAATTTATTCTTGACGGAAACCGGTGTTCTTGGATGGAGGAAATTTATCAAGTTCACCTCAGTAAACGTCAATGTGGGGATGGTTCCCTAATGGTCTGGGGTATGATTTTTTCGATCGGTCACATATTTGACAAAACGGTATCTGGTCGAATAAATTCAGACACCTACATCAAGCTTATGAAAGACACTGCCATCCTTTTAAGAAGAGACATTCTCCCCGATGGTTTCGTTCTGCAACAATACAATTGTAGTATTCATGTTTCAAAAAAAGTTTGGACTTTCTTGAGGAGACGGGAATTGAGCTTCTACGTTGGCCCAGCAGGAGCCCGGACCTCAACATTTTAGAAAACGTGTGGAGCATGTTGAGTTCAAAAAATTATGATGATCCGCAACCAAAAAATAAACAAGAACTGGAAAAAAGAGTTTTGACGCCTTAGATTACATGAACTCGCATCTTTCTGAATATGTTAAAACTATATTATCATCTTTGTATAGCCCTTTTTTATCATGTGTTACAATAAATGGAAATAAAATTGCTTCCTGACTTTTTTTTTGAAGTTTCTGTAGTAAAATGGTACGAAAAAATGTGACGCACAAGTTGGCAGTTTTTTTATGATTCCCTTCGACCAAAAATATTTTTCTTAGCTTACTTAAATCACTATAATGACCAGATTTTGACCAAATTTTGACCAAATGCGTTTTTAGGTTTTTTTTTGAAAAATTTTGACAAAAAAGCTTTTTTTGTTGGCGCGCGATCCTTCTTAAAATTGATAAAGTTTACAAAATCAGTCAGGCAAAAATTTTTAAAATTCAGAAAACCAGTCAGCCTTATATGGATATCTCAAAATAGTACAAAGGTAGTACCCTTTGGAACGGCAGGGGATCGACTCCCTGATCAAAAGGAGCACCCGGGCCCCGTCCCCCCTAAAACCGCAGGTGGTTGCAGGTGTAATAATTCTTAAAATTTGACTTCAGTATAGGAAAATTTTTCTGGTGAATTAGAAAACCACTGTCCAAAATTTCTTGTTAAGAAGTAGAATTTTGTCTGAAGAATCAAAACAACTTATAGTACAAAATTGTGAAGACTTTCGATTTTTCCTGAATAACTTTCAAAAAGAAATTTGACCTTTCCGGAAGACTTTTCAAAAATAAATTCAACTGATCAGACACAAGAAAGCGCTTTAACATCAAGGCTAGATGTTATCCGCTTTTTTTTTTCAAAATTTCCAAAGCATGCGATCCAAAAACTTCAACTTCCAGGGAGAAACAAAATTAAACACTTAAAAACCGCTGAGTAGTTTAAATTTACAACAAATCAACCTATCAATACAGTTTGACTTGTTTCAAAGTTTCATCTATTGATGACTTGTCTCAAAAACTTTAAACAAAAATGTAAGCTATCTAAATACATTTTCGCGAATCAATCAATGTTTCAAGATCATTTATAACTTAAAAAAACTCTTCAAAAATGTCAAAGCAAAGCTTCATCGCTTGACAAACTTGAAATTTTCTGAAACAAGGTAAGCTGGCAAAATAAACTTGAAAAAATTCAAAAAACTATTGCTTAATGGCTGGTTTCAGAAAGCTAACTTTTTGCTAACCAAATTCAGCTGCCAAATGTTTGTGGCGCACCGATAGTGATGGTGCCCAGCGTACGGTTGCCTTTTTCAAATCGTAAGTGCACTGTTATTTGCAAGGTGAGCTTTTGCAAGTGAGTCAAAGTTTAATGGGTGCTGGTTACATGGGCGCTTTTGTAAAAATCTTGAGAAAAATCGATCCTTTCAAGTTTTCGCCCACATTTGGCATGGCGATCAATTTAATTTTTGCGAACAGAAGTAGCTATAATAACACAAAAAACAACTATGAAAACAGAGTTTTTGAAATGTGGGGAGGGGGTAGTTGAAAAGAGCCAAAAACAATGTATGTTTTTAATGAGTATGTTTGTTGCAGCCACTCACTTTGTTCTGTATCACTTTGAAAACGGGGATGTAATGGGAGCAGAAGTCCACTTCACAATTCACCCGGACATACCACAATTCACTTCAATCAATATGCAACTGTTCAACTCGTCCAATTCCTCGACTACAGCCATAGACGAAGTTACATGCACAAGTGCTTTACCTTTCGAGGGTGGACACAGTTACTTCTGTGAGTTGCAGAATCTGCAGCCCAGTACGGTTTATTATGTCAAACTACAAGGGTACAATTCGGATGCTGATGATTTGGTCAGTGGAGGAGCTAGCACAGGTCTGACAGCATGGTCCCATTTTGAACGAGTAGAAACAGGTATATTTCAAAAATCTAAGCATCATTGAACGTGCACAAACTTTCGACTCATGCATTGACTCAATAGTCCCAAGCAGGCGTGGATCTAAGAGTTTCTCGAGAGGGGGGGGGGGGCTGATTTTCAAAAAAAAATTTGAAAATTTTGTCGACCTTTTTTATTGTGGTCTTGCAGATCCCTATAAAGTTCCTAATTTGACCAAACTTTCTGCGCCGCAGGCTAATTTTTTTTTTAAAAAGGCCAAAAACGGCGTTTTTAGGCACTTTTTGGAAAATGTTGACCAAAAAATAGCGTTTTTTTGGTGCGCTCCCCCCTCAAAATTAGTATATATTGGCGCCGAAAGCGCCTCTTGAAAATTTTTAGAGTCCGTCACCAAAAAGCGATATTTCAAAGGGATATAAAAAGGGGGTATTTTCCGAGCTATCTTAAACCAACATAGGCACTCTGTTTTGACATTTTTTTTTGTGTTTCTGAGCAATTTTTTTAAACGCTTTGACCAACAAATTGCGTTTTTCCGGCGCGCGCTTCCCTCTATGTTAGTATAGATTGGTCAAATTCCTCAGGGAGAGGAGGCGTCCACCTCTCTTTCCTCTTCCAAAAACATCGACCCTAGTTTTCCCTCTTGACTTAAAACCACCCATTCAAAGACGCCCTGAGCCAAGTTCTTCTATGAATAATTTTGTCCGTCCAGTGGGTCAAGAAAAATCAGTGTTGTCAAATAGGTCGGACTGGGTTCAAGACAATCAGTTTATATAAAGTGTATATCAAGTGTATATCAAGTGTATATCATTTTTGAATGACCAGCTCAGATATTCCGGATAATTAAATATATGTTTCATCATTGGATAAAATTATGAAAAAAGTATTTACAAAAGTTAATCTATTTTTGATGATGAAATGAGCATTTTGATCAAAAAATAATGTATACACTTTATAATGCAGTTTTCGAGCTGCTTTTACTAATGTTTGTTCCACCCAAAATCATTTAAAAAAAACTCAGAAAAAACTTGTCATTGTTACAACGATCGAAGAAAGTGACTAGAGTGTTTAAGCTCGGTTTTTTTTCTCCAGACAAATTTTGACTTTTTAGCTAGCCATTTCGACGGAATTTTGTATACAATCTGAAGAGTGCTGATGTTTGAAGTTCAAATTTGAAAAAGTATTTTGCCTGTGACAATTTTTTTCTCGGAAAATTGTCAATTTGAAAATTCTGGAATAATCAACACGCAATCTTTTTCCTGCTATCAATGCGTTCCCGGGTGGAAGATGAAAGTAACTTTGGTGTTAAAAAAATTCCAGAGAAAACAAGAAATTGAGGTAAATTTTTTTCTCTCCTCTGATTGCAAACAACTCGCGTTTGTGCTCAATTAAACACATTGAAAAAAATCAAAGATCACAAGCAAATTCATTTTTTTATATGCTAAGATGAACCTATATCTCTAAAAACAGGCAATTTTTCTCAATAATTAAACTTTTCTGAGTATAAACTTGGAAGCCATGAACAAAAAGTTACGTATTTTGTATAAAATTCTCTGTCAAAATCTAAATATTAACTTAAATAGTAAGAGGCACCAATTGGAACCTGATCTAAACTACATTTTATGATTGGATAATTTAGATATTTTACCAATGTAAAGTATTTAATATTAACCAATCATGATCCATCTAACTAACAACCCACTTATTTGTAAGTGCTGAAGTTACTTGTAATTTCAGCACCAGAGAGATTTGAATTTAACTTAGAAATTAGTTGGACTCTCCCGAGCACTTCAGCAACCGCAATAAACCAGTATACCCTAGATCTATTGAGCCTAGCAGAGACTAGTTAAACAACCTGAGACTAGATAGTATAAGAGTAAGATTAGGATCGGTATTAGACTAAGAAGTTGCACGAATCTATCCGGCCGAAAATAAGATAGCGTGACGAGCAGACGGTGTACCCTATCCGAAATTACTCTATGAGTTAACCAACTCGGTCCTAACTCATCTGGTGCGACCATAAGTCTCGAACAAGACCTTAATAGCTTAGAATTAACCAAAATAGATTAGAAATTAGACAAAAACATTTAGAAAATGTTATACGACAATAATTTAATCGAAATGTCTCTACGACTCAATAGATCAGAGCCAATATTCCGAACCATAACAGAACTACCCGGAATTGGAAGAAGACCTCGAACCAGAGACGACATACGACAAAGTAGAAATTTGCCATATAGCTATATGATAGTTCGGCAAAAACCAGAACAAACTTTTGTATTTAGAATACTACTAGCAATGAATTTAGATTTTCATTTGCAAACATAAAACCTTGAAGTTAATCTTCAAAATCATTACAGGCGCTAAACAAAATTATTAATATACAATAACGATTGATAAAAAGATCTAAGATCGTTTTCCTAAAACTCTGCAGTAATATACAAAACATGTTTGAAAAATATTTATTGAAAAAAAAAAAATAAATAAATAAAAATTAGTAGCATGACAATAAATGGTTAGTAATCATAAATCATCCTGTTGTTCCAGCTCCATCACCTAAAACATAACAGCAATCATAAATCCACTAATATCATCAAAACACTAAATCTTTCCTTTACACACATTTAAAATTTTATAAAAACTTAAATTCACTTAATTTTAAAACCAGATCATCAAGGCTTATCCTTGGATCTTAAATCATTTTCTACTTAATTAAATTTCAAATTTGATCATCAAGGCTTATCCTTGGATCAAACAGAACAACTTTGTTCTCCCCCACCCACTTAATTAGTGTCTAACGACCTCAAACGTCGATTCACTACCCAACCCTTCCTAAAGACCTAAGACTAATAGAAATTTTTAAACAAAACTAATCATTCAAATTAGGATAAACAGTGAAGAACTTCGGTTATTCATCCTTCACTTGACCCCCCCTCTTACCAGACCCAGGATAAATCTTAGACTTAGTAAGTTTAAAATAGTATCTAACGAACTACTCGCGTTCTAATTATACCTGAACCTTGTGGATCGATTTACTATTCTCCAACCCTTGAACACAATCACTACCCCTAAGTAAGATTAAGTAAGTTAACACCTTAACTTATACTAGCCACGAGAAAGTAAAAAATCATTCTTCGGAATCGATATACTTTTCTCTCCAACCCTGAACAAACAGACCCAGGTTAAGCTAACCAAAAAATCGTAAGAACTAACAGTTTAAGAAAATAGAAATCATTTAACAACCTTTTGCATCCGTCATCCTAAACCTTATGTCATTTAAAAACCTAGGAAATAAACAAACAATCGTTTTACACAATTGTGAAATAGATAACAAAAAATACGACCTTGTAATCACACCTCATACACAAACAGTAGGATACATTCGAACAAAACGACAAACACTAAAGCGAAAAATAATAACGAAACAAAGACAAATAACACGAAAAAGATTTTCAAAAAATCGAAACGCATTTTCAGAATCAGAAACCAACAGTTTAGACGAACTTTACAAACTAAAAGAATCAATAGATAAAAATTGCCCACTTCACGATCAATTATATTTTTCTGACTCAGAAACAACTTCAAATTCATCAAAAAGAGGAAAAAGAAGAATAAAAAAGCAGTATAAACACAAACCAGTACATTTATACAATTGGAATCAACCAATTCGACACATTAATAATTACATATTAACAGTCATCAAACGAAAAAATGAGCTCAACGCACACCCCAGGTGAAGAAAGTCCAGATGATGATGAAATCTTTCCTTTTATAGTAGATGCAACCACTGATAGAGGACAGCATATCTTTTGCAAAAATTTACTATTAAATTTATTTGAACCCGGAATTAGTCCATGTAAAACAGAGTTCCCAGATGTAAAAATCAAAAGACAAATCATAGACCACTACTTAAAAGATATATGCAACATAACACAACAGTATGGAATCTACTCCATAGAATTCACCTCACCAAACCATAATAATAGAAAATATACAATTCAAACAGACGATCTTGATTTAGAATTTTCAAAAGTTTTTTCAGAATATATAAAAAGCATCCAATATCAAAACTCACAAAGAGCAAACTCCATATTCACCAATGAAGTTTTCGCAATAATATATAGTTATATTTCGATATTAGAAAACGAAATCCCAATAACAAATGTCTCACCGACAGAAACATCCAAACATTTGAAAGTACGACATGAAATCACACTACTCTCTAGTTATTTAAACATCATTAAAGAAAATTTCACGAAAGACGACGTTTCACAACATACAAAACACGATCTACAAAAAATTTTGGCATGGTTCATAATAGATTATTTCACACACAATATTGATTTAATTGCACAAGCAAGAAAAAATTTTAGACCCCAAAACTCGAACGATGATACCGCTATCACAGAACAATCAGATTATGTTTCGGACCCCGAATGGTCTCATCCCGCATTTATAAGCTTCCCACAATCAATCTCAAGTCAAGCAATAAGTACGATATCTTACATAAGAGATTATGTAAAAGTAATACCATTAACCATTGATGCAACACCATTAAACTATAATACATTTTTGCCCGATACACAAAATAATAGTTTAAACTCTACAGTTATACACAATGAAAACCTCAATGGAACTAGGAATCTTACTCAACAAGATATCCAGACACCATCACACTTCATAAATGAAGAAATTGTACACACAACAACTACACAACAAAGTATTTCACCAATACGCCCAAATTTAACAACACCAAGAAATACAAATCCTTCACAAACACAGGTAACCTTACAATCAACCGTCAAACCTTCGGTTGCCCCTAAATATTCACATATGGATTACCAAACATACAGACCCATGACAATACCATCAAAAACACGCAAAACATTCACTAGAAACAACTTTACAGACCATAATTATAATTATACACATCCATCAAAAACATATAATCAACCACAAAGAAATTTTAACCAATATACAAGATCTCGAAATTGGGATAACCCAATGACCCAACCTAATTCAA